ATATATTGCACTTTATTTAAAGGTCTACACATCATGAAGAGCTCTCAGCAATTTATGAATGCAAAACACTGGGTATAGACATTTTACAATGTGTGATTTTTCATTTCGTGTAAAATTCATTCACATACTTGATAGCATTATAACATAGCCGAATAATTAAGTACTGTACAAACTCAATAAATCAAAATCTTGCTACATGGGAAGATCCCTTCTTTAGGGGTTATCTTACAGTTGGCTATATGTGTGTCTGTATATCGCTCTGAGCCGTTCCTGAGATGTCGTTTACAGATGAACAAATGAATACACAGACAAACGTGCGCGTCTGACAAAAATAAAAATAAAAGAAACGCATGCGCACTTAAAACGTATCAACCAAAAAAAAAACAAAAAACTTTTGAGCAAAATTGGACCAATTGTTCGAGAGATAAGCCATTCACAAGTTAAGCACATCTTACTGGCATCATACCATGAAACACATCTTAAATTTTCATATTTTATGATGTTTTACACATTGCAATAAGATTGTTAACAAGTGAAATATTTTACTGTACATCAAGTTAAAATATCCATTATAACTTACTACTTAGTTGTTCCAGATTATTTCTCAGAGAAAAAAAACGTACTCGACTTATTCTAACTACTTATGATCAAAACATATTAATTGTCATTCATCTTCAATTAAAATTCATTGAATGTGAAATTATACGGTCCAATGATTAGAACAAAATATTTAACAAATACATTTCATGGAATTTATTTTGAACTCAGTATACTGATAAGCAATCAGTACGTATTTTTTGCAGTTGAGTTGGCACAAATTTCTGGTAGGCCGTTGTATAGACTTTTCCTACTTTGTAACAATTAGTTTTAGTAGCTATTTTATTCATTACCGTATTTTTTACCTTAGTTTGATTATTTAAAAATGGGTTTAATTATTAGTTGACATCAAAACACATATATTTGAATCTCTATTTTTCACATTAATAATTTTTGTACAAAAAAAAACATGTTCACATTTTCTTCTCTTGTGCAAATTCATTCTAAAGATAAGTCTTTGCAATAATATTCTGGGTTTTTAAAAAATGTCATAAGTTAGGATCGTTTTAGTTACGATATGTGAAACTAACGGCTCTCGATTTGGGCTACTTGAAAGAGTGAAATATAATTTGTCATAAAAAAATAACAATATTTTAGTATTTGATATCGAATATTTAAATATATCTCTCCATTAAGTTTCATATAGGAAAAAAAATAAATTCTAAAAATAATAAGAACACGTGTAATGTTTACATCACGTTTTGAAATGGCATATAAAGTTCATATAGAACAACCTACAGAGCTACACTACACAGTCAGCATGCAGTTACGCTGAATTCCGGAGTCAACAGTTTCAGGTGTAAACCTAAAAAAAGATATCTTTAAAACTTTTGAGGATGAATTAAGCAAATATTAAATTATTTAAAAACTTAACAATAATATAATATTGTTAGAAATGTTATAATAGTGTGACGATGCTCATTTATATAACAGAAGATGCTAAACCTAGAATCGAAAAGGTCTTGGAGAAACTTGTCCTGAAATTTGGAGTTTGTGTTACAATAGCAGCTTTTCAATATTAGACAAATAATACTAAGATTTGTGGAGATCATAATTCAGTTTCTTTTGTATATACCTACAACATTGATTACATATGCACATTTTTTAAATACCTAAGCTAATCAACCAGACCAGACCAACTCTTATTTTTGACTTTTTGATTTTATACCATATATATTCTGATTTATACCACCATCTATAATAAATTACTTGTTTCATAAGACTAAATTTAAATAGTACCGAAATATTGTTTCTTAATAAAAATATAATATGTATTACAAAAATGACTTACTGAAAATGGGGACACTTGAAGTACATAACATTAAAAACACTTTTTATTTGCTATGTTATTCTTCACAATATCGTAAACTTTATAAGATAAATCATTTGTATTCAATACAGCTGGTAGTGTATTTATACACTTGAATGTTTATAATACTTTTGAATAAATATTTGACAAATTATATAAGGTCAAAAGAAGTTAGATTTATGTTAAAACCCTGAAATAAAAAGTTATACTGTAGGTTTTATACGACTTTCTGAAAATTTTAGAAAAGAAAAAACATAACAGATGAAACATGTGAGTGTTTGCAAGCTCTGATAAGTACACTTTTCACACTGACACGTAAATCAGAAACATCAATCAGTAAAACTGCAGAAACTACATCTTCAGATTATGCCTAGCTAGTATACAAAAGAAGGAAGGAGACTTGTCCAAACTTGCAACACATTTTCAGTTACTAGTTACTAATAACAATATGGAGTAATAACCGAATCTCTACAATAATTATATTACTGTAAATGTTCAGGTCACTATAGAAAAGATAAAGTTATCTGTTAGTTTTAGCTTTAGCCAAAAACAATTTACATAATGTGTAGGACTATTTAATGTATTTAATAAAGTAATTTCAAACCATCAAACGCCACAAGTTTATCAAACTCTTTAAAAAGTGGTGGTCAGTTGTTACATATTAGTTATGTTGGCTAATACCCTTAATATTATACAGAAGAATGTGACTTTAACAAGTATTGTACGTTTCATGTTCAAACTGGTCTTGAAACTGCCTTTACAGAGCTCTTTCATATGCATTGTATGAGCACTTGTTTTATTAGATGTTCCCTCAAATTAAATTATCAGTTGAATATTGAAACATAAAAAACAACAACTGGAAAAAATATAAATGTACTAATGTATTGAAGGTAATTAATGTTTATCTTAATCTGAAACACGAGAGATCGTGTAATGAATATTTTTGTAATCATGTAGTGAAAATATCATGCTAAACGTATACGGAATACCTTAGTCACCATTATTTTATCACGAGAAATGCACAACCCTATTATTTATATTTTTATTTAAGATTTTCATAATGAGTTCAGTATCACTAATTCTTTTTCTAAATTGATGAAGTGAATCCAAATATCATGTGTTTTGACGCTGGTCTCTCTACTCATTGTGTGCATAAAAGATGATGACCCAATTCAAGCTCTTGTTACTGCTGAAGAAGAGTGCTCTTCAAAGGAATAGTTCTGCCAGTGCACGAATATCATATTTACTTCTTAGCAGAATACTATGTATTTCCTGCATCTTACCCGCCTGCTTATGCTGCTGTTTTTATTTACTTTTCAAAATGAATTTTTGAAAAAGAAAAGGAATCCGAAGTAAAGCTGCATTTAAAAGAAAACAATTTCATTACGAAATATCATACTTTTAAGGCCACTGAAAACAAACATTGGTTGTTGTTTCAGGCCACTTAATACAAACACCGGTTTTTGTTTCAGGCCACTTAAAACAAACATCCGTTGTTGTTTCCGGCATTAGCAAAAATAATACAACTTGTATATGTCAGTTTTTGCAAGAATATAACTTTAGAGAAAAGTAATAAAATATTATTATTTCATAAGATGCAGTTCTTGTAGTTTACATATGTTCTAAGTTCACAGAACATTCAGTATAATATCATATAGTATGAGATATAGATGCAGGCTTTACCTTAAAACAAATATTAAAATGCTTTGGTTACCTTAAATAACATACAATTGTCATCCTAAATGGAAAACGAAGAAGATTCCTTTATCTCAAAATAGGTTGATAAAGGTATTAAATGAGCATACACGGTTTACAAACGAGACTCAAAACTCGAGCGCTTTCGAAAAGTTTACTATTATTTATCCTCCTGAAGAATAGTAGTGAACTATTTGAAAGCACTCGAGTTTTGAGTCTCCTTTGAAAACCATTACAACGTTTGCATGTGATACTTTGTGCTAATTTCTTAATCAAATGAGCATACACTTAAGATTCGTAAAACATCAGCATTTTTTAAGCAATCGTTTGGATGCACGTTTCATTCGAAAATAAGATGTTTGAATTTTGCTGCGTAAAGTGCTCTATACAAATAGCAGTTATTAGTGGCCATGTAGAAATACGCAATCGTAAAAAGGCACAACTAAAGATTGAATTCGAGTCAATATGGCGACAACACACAAACATAAACAGACAAAGAGATATTAAGATTTTTTGCCACGTGAGTTTTATGAGCGTTTCGCTTAATAAATGTAGTATTATCAAAGCAAATAAGTTACTACATTTCATACAGTCTCCTCTTAGATGTGAATGTGTATAAAAGGAAGTTATACAGGAACACAAGCACAGAAAAATGAAGTATGGATAAAATATAAATATGATAAAATTTTATCTGTTTCACAAAAGTTGCTCACCTGCAAAGTAGACATATTTTCCAACATTGTGATATCAAGAAAGTAAGCTAAACGGTGCGGTTCGTTGAAGCGATAAAAACCAAGAAAATTTATTTTGAATGGAAATATTCTTTTTGTTATCGAATAAACAAGAGCAGATATAATTTCTTGCTTGGTCATTTACTAAATTATAAACCGATGTATATATAGCTATGAACCCTGTTTATTAATGAAACTAAACACATTACTCTATAGTTTGTTGAAAAATGGTCTGCACAATCAGATCGAATAATTCAAGCTCACATTTCTTGGTAAAAAACGTTAGGCACTGGGAAGTGGGGTGAACGGAAAAATAAACTTTTAATCAAAGATGCTTTAAGTTATTTTAGGCGAAAACGTTGGAATATATTATTATACTATAATACAGATATATAACATACATCAAAATACTCACATCATGTCAGTCGTTCTGCTCAATTATCAATATATAAAATGAATAACTAGTAATAGTGGTTTAGTCATTATTATGATCCCAAAGCAAATTATAACAAATTAGTTCCTCACTGTATGTAATTACGTTACATTAAATTGTTTTTAACAAGTATTATAGTAAAATATCAAGCATTGAGTAGATTGGAATACACGTTAACAGCAATATATCGACAATATTAATACTTATATTATTTAATAGGTAATGTGGTAAGTAATTCGTGATCTTATTCAGGCCTTTCAGTATATCTTTCATTACACTACATAATTTTTCATAAATCTGAACGTGAGTTTTATCCAATAGAGGACTTCTTGTCACTGGAACCAGTTTACTAATTGTTTTGATAATCACAATTATTTACAATTATTCAATGAAAAACCAATTCAGTTGCTTATGTATCTGCTAGAAAGTAACAAAAGTTTCAATTAAAAAGTTGTTTCTATGTATTGCAAAACTGACTGTGGTAGTAACGAAATCTTGAAAACAAAACCAATAAATGTTGTGACGTTAATTTATCCGAACTCTGTGGATTTTTAAGAGTTTCATATGAAACAATTTGGTTTCTAGGTAGTATTCTTTGAGTATAAATAACCTACTCCAAGTTTCCAGACAGGATTTAAACTCTCTTTTTTCTATTATCTGACGTGTCTTTTGTTCTCGGGAACGTACATAGTTCAGCCTCTTTACATTGACTATAACCTTTCAGCAAAGCAACGAGGGGAGCCTTTTCCACTTTAGTAGCCCATTGTCTTTAATTGTATTTAAAGTCTAAATTTTTGAATTGTTTCCTTAATTGGTGTGTTTATATTCTTCACTGGTTACCACTTCTAGGGATAAAATGCCATCTAAGATTCATTAGTTTGACAATTGTCCATTCCAGATAACAATAGTTCTTCAGAACCATCATTAACCTGTTTTATGTGTACATTTTGATCGGAAACTTCATTAAAGGAAGAGAAGACGAGTAATTGTAATGATTATGACCCGTTACTCGATATGAAGGATAATCTTCATATTTGTGATCTTCTGGATGATCATAATTATGTCAGTAATATGACTGTCCTGTTGAGCTCTGTTATATAAAGATAACTCACAAGGAAACAATGCATGAGATTTTGACTCAAAGTTATACTTTTTAAGCTCTGCACTCCACACGGTCACTTGAAACACATGGTTGGTACGTTTTTAAGTCTAACTGTTCTATCAATAGATTAAAGTTGACTAACCCATCGTGAATTTTGTTTTTCAACTATTTTCAAGGTAATGACCAAGAAGGCAGACAAGCGGAGGAGCTGTTCTTTTCAGTAGACGATGTAGAATATAAAGTTTTTGACCCAACACTGAATGATCCAGAACAGCAAAAATTATCTTCTCCACCAGGTTGACTAGTATCAAGCTCATTCAATAAATCATCTTCCAAGAGTTTGTTCACGACGTCTAAAGATGCTATTTAAATTAAAAACAGTAATAAGTTAAAATTGAGAACATTAATTATTTTAACAAGAGTTTAACCTACATCTTGGAGAAATCATCACCTACATTTTAGAAACTTTAAAAAGTACACATTTGCAGATGGCATATTAAATCAATACATACAGGATGTTATTGTTATACAATGTAAACAGTTTGTTTGACTACAGCCATAAATGAAACCTTTTTCAGTCATCACTCCTAAACGTCTAATGAAGTTATAGTCCTCACATATTTGCTTCGTAATTTTATTCTTATCGAAGCTATTTACAATTTACCCTGCTATTGTACTCTGCTGTTGTACTTTGCTGTTGTACTCTGCTGTTGTACTCTGCTGTTGTACTTTGCTGTTGTACTCTGCTGTTGTACTCTGCTGTTGTTCTTTGCTGTTGTACTCTGCTGTTGTACTTTGCTGTTGTACTCTGCTGTTGTACTTTGCTGTTGTACTCTGCTGTTGTACTCTGCTGTTGTAATCTCCCGAAAACATTAACATTTCCACTGACGATTATGTTTTAAGAATATAGTGGAAGATTTTACATTAATTTTTTTTCTAAAATTGAATTCACTGTAAAAGCTATAAAACTGATTCTTTTATGTATTTACATTTTATCATAAGGAGTTAGTTTCAGGTAAAATATACATACAATCAGCCTTTGTTGAGTGTAAAACATTTGCTTCCATTGTTTGTTTCAGTCTCCATTGTAGTTCTTCCTTCTCCATCGATAGTCGTGAATTAGTTTTTGATTCCTTTTCAAACTCTTCCTTCAAATGTTGACTCTCACTTGCTAGTTGTCTTTAAAAAACACTCGCATAAGTGAATTAGCATTAACTTGTCCTTTAAATTGTTCTAATTTATTAAAGTATTCACACAGTAAATCAACCAATCTATACTAAAGATTAAGGATGATTACCTCAAGTACTGAAACACAAAAACAACAGATGGCTCTGGCATCTACTACACATTTTTACTTCAGCAATAGGTACAGTGCTCTGACGGTTCATCGTAACAACAATGAAATATTTTGTTTAGTTTGAGTTGCCGTCATTAGTAATCAAAATCAATTTGTATAAAGTCAAATTAATTGTCCTATCTAATGCCAAACGTTTAAAAACAACAGCAACAACAGACAAATAAAGCAGGATGGGTGACAGTATTGTTAATATCTTAATCTATACATCCAATTGTTAGATGTTTGTAATAAAAAGAGTATTAGCATTAGCTTTATTAGCTACATGTTCTTACACAGCTACTTGCAAGTATCAATCATATCGTCGAAAAAATTAGATACAGTAAAATTGAAACTAGAAAGTTTGTTTCCAGTCTCACCACTACCTATAAAAACATACATATCTATAGATATTTCACAAACATATGGATTTGTAACATCAAAAATACACTTTTTTACTCCAGATGGCCTACGTTTCTATAAAATACAAATACGTGGTAACTGCCTTTGGAAGTAATGCGTTACATGTTTGGATAGGCAAATATTTCAACACTTAAATGACGGAAGTCATGAACAGTGGTTATTAGTGGCTACATACTTGAATAGCATTTCAAACTACCGTGTACTGGTTTGTGTTGATTAAAATATTAAATATAAACGAAAATATCAAGATGTTATTCGCTAAGTTGATAAGAAACACAGATTTAAAAACACCTTAATTCAACTGCCTTGTTAGTCGGTGAGATTTTACTACAACTACTTAGCAATAGATTAGTGTCAAATATTATACATCAAATGGTATTGGTCTCATAACATGATACAAAAAATAAGTATGATATAACAGACGACTAAAATATGTCAAAACGCCAACACGATAAACTGAGCAGCATAGAGTTTCAAAAGCATTAAGAAACAAAATAATAGCATGCAGAGACACGAAAATATAGACATCCACTTCCATATTGGTGTGTAATGTAATGATCTTACTAGAATATTACTTCCATACAAGAGTGTTACTTTCTTACAAGGGTGTTACTTCCTTACAAGAATGTTACTTCCTTAGAACAAATTTATTTGCTTCAAAGAATATTACTTCCTTACAACAAACTTATTTTCTTACAAGAATATTACTTTCTTACAAGTGTCACTTTCTTACAAGACTGTGATTTCCTTACAATAATGTTACTTTCTTACCACAAAATTATTTCCTTACAAGAATGTTACTTCCTTACAAGACTGTTACTTCCTTACAAAAATGCTATTTCGTTAAAAGAGTGTTACTTCCTTACAAAAATGACGCTAGGATTACAAAAAGTTGAAAGACTATATTGGAAACATGGGTTACTTCTTTGGTAATATAGTTAGTACAAATAATGCTACTCGTTATTACTTTATTAAGAAAATAAATCTTAAACTTAAACTACGAACATTCAATAAGAAACTGGGAGTAATACATTAAATGTACCGCATTACTATATATTTTACCTTTCAATTCGTACTTTCTCATCTACAACAGCTTGTAAGTCCTCAATCCTCGCCTTCAGTTTCTGAATGTGCTGCCTAGCAACTGGAAGTTTCTCCAACTAATGAATGTGAAGAAATTTTAAAATTTTACTTTAAAGCTCAAACAAAATAATATATATTATTCAGAGATTTGCATTCACATTCCTAAAATGTAAAGTGTCAGTGAGAAATCAAAAAGAAAATATATTAATGTATTCAACATTGTAAATATACTACCGATACATAAAATAATACAGAAACCAAATAATAGTTTGAATCTTCGAAAATCAAACACGAATGCAGTTGAAATACTAATAACATAGAAGACAAAATATTAACATTTGAAACAAAACTGGATTTGCCTTTTCGTCTTTAGTTCACCAAAGGCGTCGTTGTAAACTTAGGGGGCAAATCTATGTATAGAAAGAAATTTAAATTAAATTTTTTGGATCCTCTTTCTAATATTTATATACATGTATACTGTATCGAAAATAGTTATGGCAAAGGCAAGGAAAATGGTATTAAAAGGCAAATGTTATGGGAATGTCTTCCTTCCATCGTGTGAAATCAATTGCACCAGAATACAGGCACGTGTTGGTAGTTTATGCTTTAACTGGCTGTCATACAGCCAATCAGAAGGCGTCACATCAATACAAGACCTATAAGAATACAAATTACATACAGGCGTTTTTAATAGGCGCGGTAGAAATGGCGTGAATTTCACTAACAGCTTCTAGGGCTAAAATACACATGGTAAGCTTGTAGAAATTAAACTTTTGTCTGGTCAAGAATATTAAATGCAACAAATAACGGAATGATTCTGAAGAAGGTAGAAGAAACTGGCAGTGTTTATAATAGAAATGTTCCAGTAGAAAACCGAAACTCTACAAAAGAAGTCTCAATGTATGTTTTTTAAGAGATAGACCACAGTCGAGTACATATCTTGCCCACGACCTTACTGGATTTACAGGCATCACTGTTACCTAGGGAAGAGAGAGATAAGCATCAACAAGTGGTCTCATGGACGTGTACTTGCTAGAAATCTGCGACTAAAAAGAGGTAACCAAAACAAAATGGCGCCAGACTGCAAAAGTGAAATGAGTAAAGCTAGAGCTGCGTGCTTTTTTTTAAAGATGAATCCAAAATAATTTGTTTGACAACAATAATGACAGTTTATTCGATGGTGGATGGAAGAATGGCATCATAGACAATTTATAACATACAGTGAAGCATGTTGGGGAATCGGAGCAAATTTGGGGATGCATCGCAACCAACGATGTTAGTGATCTACAGAATACTGGTGGCACCCTGGCTGCTGACAAGTACAGGCAAGTTTATGATCTATTATGTCACTCCCTCAGTAACATTACTCAATGAACGGAGATTCATCTTCCATCAAGACAATAATCCCAAATTTACTGAAATAGTATCTTGATGGTAAAAAGACCTATGGCCTGGCCTGCAAAAAGTCCTGATATGAACATTTTGGAGGCTGCATGGGATTATATAAAACTAAGAAAGTGAAATGATAACCAAACAACTTGATTGAGTCATGAGAAACAATAAAGGACGCTTGTAACAATATCAAACATTAATAAACTGTTCGAATGCATGAAAACAAGGAGTAAGGCACTGCGCAAAGCAAAAGGATCATATACAAAATACTATTGTATTGCATAAATGATAATATTTTATTTTGTATTTTTTGTAATAATGTTTTGTACTATTAATAAATTCTTCTAGTTGTTATTACTCGTTGTTTTTGACTCCTATATATGTATAGTTTGTGTGTTCCATAGTTATTTTCATATCAAAATATGTATACTTAATCAACAACAAAAAAATCAAAAAAGGATCCCAGGTTTCAAAAATATGGATGCAAATATACATTTACCATATTATATATTATTATATTAAGTTTGCCCATATTTTTCATGCAAACTTGAGTACGTACTTATAAATTATGTATTTATTCAAGAAGTTTGTTTGTAATTAAGCACAAAGTACACAAAGGGCTATCTGTGCTCTGCCCACCACGGGTATCGGAACCCGGTTTCCACCGTTGTAAGTCCACAGACATATCGCTGTGCCACTGTGGGGACATATTCAAAAAGTAAATAACTATATGTATAAAATCTATAACTAATATTATTTTAAGCTTAATCTATTAATACTTTTCCCTTCAGCAACAGTAGCCAATAAAATAGGAAGCCAAAAATAAATTTAAAAACATTATCGATATGACTGATATAATAGTAGAGAGTTGTCAATGTGATGTCAAGTGTAATAGCCTTTCCTTTATTTGTCCATCGACTTAATTTTGTTCAAAAGATGATTGTTTTTCTGTTTTAAACTGAATTTTTGTAACTACAAAAATATCCAAGATAGTAAGTTACTCTTAAGATTTTCCCTATTTAAATTTATAAACGCAATTATTAAAACGCAAAGACTAAATAATAAATCGTTTTTATTCCCATGTTACATTCAGAACCCGAGAGACAAGTTGAATTATTTATCTATATTTTAGAAATATGTGACAAATTAATGTTTTACCTCTTTCTTCATTTCCAGGTTTTCCGTCCGTAGTTCATGAATGTCTTCAACCTTTATCTCTAGCACTGCCCTCAAACTGTCGACTTCTTTCTGTAGTGTTACTTTTTGAGCAAGGGCCCACTGGATTGAAAACATTTGCAATTAGCAGATAATTCAGTACAATGTTAAGAAACAATAATTTTAAATGAACCTAATAGATGAGGTGAATTGAATATTAGATAATCAATGGAAATTTTGTGCTGTAAAATAAATAATTCTTTATTAAACAGCGATGGAGGGTTAGTTGGCGGCATATATCTTGTGTTACAAGAAATGTAGTTTCTGTTGCTGATCTGCTGTAAACATTCTCATTAATCGCTCATTGAGAGTAAGGAAACATACACAGCTTGTGATTGTGTTCTGCAGTAAAGACGTTCTCTGTTCCTACCATCAGCGTTTTATTTCAGAGAGTAAAACTTACAGAGAGTTAATCGCTCTTTATAAGAATTAGCATAAAATACCCAAGCTCCGCTGCGGGGTTCAAAGACCCCTTATGATTTACAGAAACCCTAAAAGCTCCTCCATTATCCCCACTTACTTCTATAACTACCACAAGGTGGGCCGGGTTAAGCTCGGCTCGACTGGTAGCGTGTTGGACTGTGGAACGTGGTTCATGACTGAATTAAAGGACTTTACAGGTACGTGGCTGAATAAAAGTGTTGTGATTTCGGTTTCTTCGACAACTTTTTTCATGCAAACAATCATTGGTTTCAAGGAATCGTGTAAACATTTGGCTTATAAAGTTTTGTCCACTTAATCTTTGTGTTTATTATATTAATAAAAACACCGGGAGTATGTCCAACTTTATTACAATGTCGGAAGGTACTTTTTTGTAACCATAACTTTTGCTTTGCTGATTGGCTTGTATTGTATTTTTGTCCTGAATGCTCTGCTATGTGAGTTTTTCATCTACTAAATATTACGTCCTTTCATTTAATAAGAATATTTCTCTTTGGAAAGAGCTTTTGCATGTTCCTCCAGAACTAAGCCTATCCGTAGAGGTATTGATTTCCTCCAATGAACTTTATGCCTTTGGTCTGCTTAAATATCATATCAAAACCGGCGATAGGAGCTTCTTACAATAGCACTTGCAGTGTTAGGTAATATTGAATAATCATGGCCAGAAGATTGAACATGATCGACAACGGAGGATGTAGTTGGGAAGGTAACACAAAAATTGGAACATCGTTTTTATAAAATGCAATTAACACTTAACACATAGAGTTGGTGATGGTGTTCTGTTGTAAGGGTTTTCTCTGTTCCTACCCTTGATGTCAGACATCAGACACCAAGATTTTCATTATTTTGTGTTGGTGTCCTTACTGTTAGTAACAGGCTGGGGATGGTAAAGAAATAAATCTAGTTTGTATCAATTTTGTGTTTGAAGTGTATTCGACGTACCATTGGTGACAGACTTTAGTCAATAAACCTACCTGTAATTTACTGTTGGTGTCTTGTTGGAGTGTGCCTTCGATATATTTTGTTTCGTGTTGGAGATCTTTACACTGTTTTTTCAGTTCTTTCACCTGATCTTGCAAAGAAGTCTGAGACCTCTTGTGACCTTCTACTTCCTGTTGAAGTTGGGTGGTGAAGTCCTTTTCCAGATCTGTAACAAAGAAAGATGAACATCACCTAATTGGATTGAAAATGTGAAATTGCTGTCTCTCAGTAGACTAGAAAATGTAATGATGATAAATGTACAAATTGTGATATAAAGTGAACAAAATTATTTGTAAACTCAATATATATATATATAACTAAAACCCAAACCGTAGCACAAGGTAAGAAGATGCTCAGTATGAAGTGGTTAAAATCCAAGATGATTGAAAATGGCACCAAGAACTTCCTCGGATGTTACGATAAAAATCCAGAAAAATAAATAAAAATGTGTTAGAGTTCTTTGAATAATAAATGTATGTATATATCTACGTTTGAGCATTCTGAATATTAGAATAATATTGCTATTATATTTGGTATGACAATTGTTTCATTCTGTATGTTTAATAAAATAAGCTATGTATTTCATCTCTAGAAGTCACTTCACATTATCTAGGAAACCAAACTTAATTATTTATACAAGATCTGATAGTCTAAGTTTTATATTCGTAATATTAACTAGATTATATCTCTTTAAACCTAGCACTATTTAATATATAGTTATTATAATTATTGCTGCAGACATTAACATAATAAACAATTGTGTATCTAACGTTTTGCAGAATACTGATATACAATACTAGAATGCAAATAAGGTCTAAACAATGTCACAATAATTTGTGAAAGTTAAATAGCCAAAAAAACAAACAAACAACTAATTGATAACAGTGAGAATCCACGTGAATGTTAGCAGAAAGGCTATACTTCTTAAAAATCTGTTGAGTTTATCTGGACATGAACTAATTTAGATCTGATTTTAGTTTGATTTTGGACTATTAGAAATGCCCCCCAGTGGCACAGCGGTATGTATACGAACTTACGACGCTAGAAACCGGGTTTCGATACCCGTGGTGGGCAGACCACAGATAGCCCGTTGTGTAGTTTTGTGCTTAACTACGAACAAACTAAAACTAAACAATTGGAAAGCCTATTAATTATAACTAACTCAAAATGAAACAAAACTCTTTTGAATATCGGGCTTTTCATAGACCAAACTTAAAATTAAATTAGCTTCTATTAAAATTAACAAATTTTAACAACTTATTGTTATTTAAAAATTTGGCAAAAAACAGGTTCTTTCTCATTTATAGTATTATAAAATAAAATAAAAATGTATCAGACACTACACTAATATTATGAGATAATTTCTTGCAGGTGAAAATTCGTTATTTTAACTTAAATATCTTGTTTGTGACCAATATACAGTCATAAAGTTCAAATTAAATTGTGTTTTTTTTCATGACATAAGCGTATATATTTCATCTTACAAATGTTACCTTCAATTATCCGATTATGTTGTTCTCTCAGGGCATCCACTGCTGCTTTATTTCTAATCTGGGCATCTCTAATAGATTTGACATGAATGTTTTTTAAGTCTCGAACCTTCAAAACGAAATACAGTATTAAACATTTTCACTCAAATGTTTAAGTAAACTGACTGAATATCTTACTCTGAAATCTAAACAGCGATAAAGAAAGATTTATCTCTCAGAAGTGCTTGCATTTACCATCTTTAAACGTGTGTAAGTTGTCTGTATTTTTTAATAAAACATGCAGTTTTCGTAAATTGACATTTCTGTGTTATATTTTTCAAGGTAAAACTGCTTTTTAAAGTAGTTCATTTAAAATTAAAACTGATCCTTTGAATAATTCCATTACAGGTTATAAAACAAGTTTAGTTTTTAACAAGTGAAAGCTATGGCAAAAAGACTACGTTTTTCCTGTACTCTAATATCATACAAAAGTATATTTATGCTTGTGATAAAGCTGTGATTCAATCTCAAACCTCATCACATATCTATAAGATGTATATATTTTTATACAATATATATTGGTGACAAGACCTGAAGCCAATAGGCCAAACATCTTTTGCTCCGTCTTTCAAATAAAAACATCAAATAATACCAAAATGAAAATCATACGTATATATGGTCACTTTTGCCAAACATTTCTATTGTTTAGAGGGTATGCTAGAAAAAACAAACTATTTGTAATCGTATGTTCATAAACGGAATAGTAAAAGTATATTAGTAAGTTTAACACTTTGGTAAGACAATGAAAATCTATAGAAAGACTTGACATTTCATTAAATGATGGGAGTTTTTAGAAAGGTTAAATTATGGTCGGTCTGGGATTATATGGAAGTATGAAAGATTGACTAAATAAATCCACTCTCTGGAGAAAATACAGCAGTTTCGACAAAACAGTAAGCCTCTATCGAATACCTAGACAAATGGGATTCGATTGGAAGGTCTGACAAGCTTTTTTAAGGAAAGGAATTCTATTGGAAGCAAAAAAAAAATAGCTGATTCACTGGTGTTAATAGGAGGGTCTGAGAGTTTCGGTAGAAACTGAGATTCGTTGAGAAAGCTGGAATGTAAAATCCTAAGACCTTCACTAAATGTACTTTTAATTTCCTTCACAATCGTTCTACAAGAGTCCGGATTCATAACTGTATGTCTCAACTTTTTTCCTTTAACTCAGGAGTTCCTCAAGGATCAATGCTAAGCCTAATACTCTACACTCAATCTCACGTTACTAACTCACGCATCTCACTATGCTGGTGATATAGCTGATAGTAAAATACAATAATTACTTAATAGAATCACTATATGGTGCAAAAAACTGCGGATTATTCTCAATCCGTCCAAAACACGCGCCATATTCTTCCACAGAAGTCTTAACAAAAGATTGAAACATATTAAAGAAGTCAAATTAGAACTTTACGACACCCCATAACCCCTCTTCAAAGAAATCAGTAAAAAAGTATCAAGACCAGAACCTCTTATCTTAGAAAGATAGGCCACCATATACACGAATGTAAGACATTTACTTTTTTTATTTATCTACATCATCAGACTCATCATGGAGCACGGTTCCATGATTACATGTAATAAGAAACAGTACACAGCTACTTCAACACCACGCCACACGGCTATTCCACTTGGCACGTTACACCCCCAAAAGCTACTGTCTCATCAGTTTAAACCAGAATAATTAAAGTAGCCACCAAATATTACAAGATTCAAAGACACGAAGTTCACTTACGTCACACTAGTCCCCTAACATTGCAACCACACCAGAATCATGGCAAAAGTATTTTTCACCATGTAATTCGAACCACAGAACATAACTTCACCTCCTGGATGGCTAAAACACACTATTTCGGAAGTTATAAATTATTAACATCGTTCGTTTACATCTTTTTCATGTGAACAAGTAACTTCTCGCCGGCTATCATCTTGGGCACTAGTCGAGCATTGCTAGTGAAAATGGGTTTACCCATTTTTCCATATATTGGATTTAAAGATCCCCACCACCCAGATGAAAGGCCATTTAATCCTGTAACTACCGATTCTAAAACAGTCAACTCACTCTCATCCTCTTCCAATCTACGTGAAACGGTGAGACTCAGTTTAAAGTTTGTTATTATTTTCGTCAAGTAACCAGTAACATATATTACGAGCGGGGCGAAGGAAGATTATTGAATCCTGGAACACCACTGGGCCATAATGTCCCAAATATCTGCCCAGAACAAAAAAGAAAGAAAAGCTAAAAAGTTGGCTTAAAAATGGGAGCATATTGATAATCTTGACAAGTTAAGTAGAGGGCGGTATTCTATGAAGATATCAGACAATTTATTGGCTGAATCTTATGGGGAGATCTGACAGATTAGCTACACAATGGACATTCTAACAGTTGACTGAAAGATGTAAATTTATTGTAAGATCTGAAAGCTCGTTTAGTTAATCGTATTCTAATAAAAAATATAGAACTTTTCCTGGGTAACTATATTCAATTGAAAGTCTGGACATTTTGTTTATATAACACGATTTTATTGAAGGCTAAACTACTGGTACATGTAAGGAAGGTCTGACAGTTTTTGCTAAACAACAGGATTCTTGAAAACAGTTGAATGGTTAATGATAATCAGATGAAAAGTCGGAAAATTCTAGAAGATTATGGAATTTTATAGCAAATATGGCCATTTAGATTTAGCAGTTTTTTACCAAAGAAACGGTACTCAGCAAAAAATGTAGAAAGTGGTTAAAAATTCGAATTTTTTAGAATTTCTAATAGTTTGTAAAAATATTTAAATCTATGCAAAGATTGGACAGATGTATGAAAAGGCTGGAAAAGTTGCTGACAGAAATAAGTAGTTATTATATTGACAGACGTAGCAGATTAGTTAGACAGTGGGATTCTAAGAAATAAGCTGGAGAATTGGTTAAATAGTGAGAGTCTATGTGGAAGTCTGACAATTTGTTAAGAAAATGAGATTCTGTTAGAAGGTTGGCCTAAAGATTATGAGATAAGTAAACAAAAAACGCTCTGATAGAGAAGATTATAAGAAAATTCCAAGCAGTTTACTTATCTAATGAAAGTTTATATAAAAACAATACAGTGTAATTGAGCAGTAAAAGTCAATTTGATTTTTTACACGAGTAATAGAATTCTATGGAATGACTGAATATTCAGCTGCCTGATAAACAGTTCATAAGAAAATCTGTTTTGTAAAAAAACACACAAATAAACGGGATTTTATGGGAAGCTTGAAATATCTTGTGAAACTCTGATAGTTTACTGAATTTTGAAGTTTATGGTAAGTAGGACTTATAATTTAGCTAGGTAATGGATATTTAAGGAAATGTTTCTTTTTTGGTTACATTTCTATAGAAATGCTGAAATTTTAGCTGAAAGTAGCCTTGATAAAGAAACAAAAAATGTTTAGTAGACAATGATAATCTGAATAAGGTCAAATCATTTTTAGATATTGTTTGTCCGAGAAACATTAGTTCTATTTTATCCCATCATCAGCTGCCTTGAAACAATTTTCAAAATCTCACCTCTTCTTCATGATTGGCTTTCAAGGTTCTAATTTTCTTCTGGTAAGTGAGAGTCACTAGAATGAATTGAAATATTTTTAGCTTTTAGCATAAAGCTCATTATAAGAGATTATTTATCTATGAACATTAAACAATTATAAGATATAACCAAAGTAATCATAAGTCATATTCAGTAATAATGTGAACATTATCTATGAACATTAAACAATTATAAGATATAATCAAAGTAATCATATTCAGTAATAATGTGGTAAACTGAAGTACAACATTGGAAAACTGAAGACAGCATTCACAGTAAATGTGTAACGATTGGAATCCAATCATAGTCATTGTTAGTAGCATTGAGGTCACCTTGTTTAAAATGCTAATTATTTCACTAATTACTAATTCTCTGACATCCTGTTCCAGATGAGTCCTTAGAACAATCGTTTGTCATCTGAAGAAGACAGAATTCGATCTTAGATATTGAGGTCAGAGAGCAATGGTACTGTTCCCTGGTCTTTTTTCTAACCAACCAGGAGACCTAAAGTCGAATCACCGCTCTTAAGATGGTAACAAACTAGTGGCTGAAATTAGTAACTGGATATTTAAATATGAATTTGAAAATGTTATTGTGTAAACTAGCGATATCCACAACAATAGTGGCTAGTGTGGTTCTATAGTGCACACAGAATTATGGTATTAAGAAATCAATTATAGCTTTTAATTTTATTGGTAAGGCTCTTAACATACACGAATTATAACAGAAAACTGGAGCAAATGTCTCAGTATATCCTGCATCAAATTATTTATTCAATAAATCTAATGGCTTATAATGCTAAAAACCGGATTTCGATACCCACGTTAGGCACAGAACACATAGCTCACTGTGTGGCTTTGCGCTTAACAACAAACCAACCAACCAAACATTATAATTTTATAAGCATATTTGAATCTCATATAATTTTACAAATTTTATAACTGATAAATTTATGTCAAACTTACGTTCCTCAGTTTCTTTCCTGTGGAGTTCTGCCAACATGGTGGTAAGACTTTGTAAATCTTCCGCATGGTATTGCTTTAGGTGCTCAAATTGAGTCTCGTAACGATCTGAAAAATGCAATATATTGATTCGCAGTTCATTTCTTTACTCCTATACTGATATAAGATTGTCATTGACAGGACTTTTTGGAAAAAAAATTAACCTTTTTCTAAAGCCATGATATATAAAAGAATGAAATATTTTATTTTGTCTCAGCGTAATGAAGGATTATGTTTCAATTTCCTTTACGCCATAGATTTTTGAATTAATCACTTTAAAAAGTAATCGGATTATTATTCATATAATAATGATAATGATAACACTACCAAGATATTAGCAAAAATACAGGGTACTTAAAGGTAGTGCCAGCAACAGTTAATTTTAAAGTACTTGAAATACGAACAGGCATGCAGCCAATTCTAAGAATCTGTTAGCAGTTAATAAAAACATTGAGAAGAATGTTATGGAACAGATAAACATCTCATTAAAAGATTTAAACTTGAATAAAATGTAGAAAACCAACTCATTTGAAACAGCCATGAATAACTGATTCACACACATTACAACCGAGTTCTGGGCAGACACACCGGTAGCTTAAAGATGATAGAAACAGTTAATTCATGCAGTAAAACTAGGGAAACCTGATCAGACAAACAGCTCACTTAAAGATGTCATCAGAAATAGTCAGTTGATATAGTAATATAATATAGCAGACAAACAATTCATCATTTTGTTAATAAATATAACAAATGTGCCGATATGAAAAACCGTTAGAGTTTATTGGCAAACAGATAGTTCATATGGAGCGGAGATGAATTCGTCCACCACGATTCAGTTTCATAAGAATTTCATGAAATATTCACACTTACTAGTAATTTATATATATATATCATGTTCCATAATGTAGGGTCATTACTTGAGGATATAAGAAAATCACAAAACATTAGGCAAAATATGTCAAAATCTTTATCACGTAAGCACTAGAAATTTTCTTCAAAGAACAGATCTTTTGAGTATGTATGTATCAAGCTAATTAGTATACAGTGAAAACCCTGAAATACAATAATGAGAAGAGAATGAAATAAATCATCTAAAAAGTTTTTAATAAAACAACAAGCAGTCAATGCATAACATAGCCTCTCACTTTATAAGGACACGGCGTTTGGTATAATAAGTTTTGACGGTACTACAAAATTACTCGTTTTTTCATAAACACCTATTATTATCGTACATTATCAGTCATAGAAACAGCAGAAAATATCAAGGATAGAGAATAAAGTCCTGCTGATGTATTCTCGTTAAATGAGTATCCAAGTCCATCCGGTTGAAAACACAGTAAGCACTAGATATTATTTCTTATTATGCCTCATTTTGTGTTTTTATTTTTTTAAACATAATGTTTGTTCTGTTCTTTCCAAACAAATATTGAATTATAGAACACATATAACGTCAATCTAAATGTTCACTTTGTTGTCTGAGGTTACAATTAATTTTCTACATACTTACAAGCCAGACTTACTAGTGGTTTGTTCGACAGATCACCAAAAATAAAAAATACCTAATTACGTCTTGTAAAATTAAGTCACCTAAAGTTTAATAGATTATTAATAACTTACGAAACCGAGTTTCTGCCTTACAAACGTCAGCTTGAGTTTTCTTTGTATCTGTTATCGTACGAGATTTGGATAGGTTATCTAGCTGTGAATAAACGAATTAAGTAAAAAGATTAACGAGATAAATTATTCATATGATATTTATTACAAATAAAACACAACTGGAAAAGATTCAGGGATAATTATCAATATCAAAACATAAAACCTTCTTAAAGACGTGCAACTGTATGTTAAAAACAACAATCAAACTTTTTTGATTATTTCACTAAAACATAAAACCTTCTTAAAGATGTGCAACTGTATGTTAAAAACAACAATTAAACTTTTTTGATTATTTCACTAAAACAAAAAACCTTCTTAAAGATGTGCAACTGTGTGTTAAAAACAACAATCAAACTTTTTTTTATTATTTCACTAAAACATAAAACCTTCTTAAAGATGGGCAACGTAGGCTACTAATCAAACTTTTTTGATTATTTCACTAAAACATAAAACCTTCTTAAAGATATGCAAATGTATGTTAAAAGCAACAATTAATTTTTTTTATCATTTCACTATCTATGTTTTCCAGGGTTCGTGGTTTGATTGTAGTTATTTCAATATGCGTTTTTATGTTTTGAAGAAAACTCCACTACAGTAGATAAAGTACAGAAGGTGTCATACAACATGAGAGGGCTTGATCAAGCTATACTTATGATAGGTCAAACTTTATATACTTGACTCAGTTTGAATAATGATAACGTGTAATTCACAAATCATTTGGAAAAGAATCTAATGAGTGTTTTGTCGCTCAGAATTATCCCTCGATAAATATGAATTATAACTATATTATATATTTTGAGATATCTTTTTGCGACACATTCGAATTTTAACGTGTTCAAAAAATTAAAGAAACCTGATATGAGATAGCAGGTTTCTTTCTATGACACAAAGCAGTAATAAAATGTAAATGTGTGAGCCAACTGTTTACGACCTCCCAGTGGCACAGCGGTATGTCTGCGGACTTATATCGCTAGAAACCTGGTTTCGATACCTGTGGTGAGCATAGCACGGATATTCCATTGTGTAGCTTTGTGCTTAACTACAAAAAACACAAAACAATTGTTTATGGGAAAATCTCAAAGAGATTATAAGTGGGTAAGTCAATTAATACTACATATTTCATCTACCGGAAATAGCTTATTATGATCACATGATGTTTAACTTTTAAGAATCCGAAAGCACTTCTTCATGCGAGGGAAGAGCAGTTAGAATATGGTACAACCTTAAAAAAGTACGAAACTACGTTATATTATATACAAGTTGAGGTACCCATTTTTCTTACGGGTTATTAACTTTAAAAAATGTTGGAGTGAGTGCTATGATAAACTAGAGGAACAAAGTAGAGCGTATACCTCCGCTACGCAGCGTTGATCATATTCGGCTTTCAAAAAATATTTAAATGTGTCTTTCGTTATCAACGTACACGAAGAATTTTTGGCAGGACAATGTGTAATAATATTCTACATAAGTTTACCAAGTTTCATCAAATTCAGATAATTTTTGACTGAGTTATAGGGCAAAAAAATCGGTGTGAAAAATCGGTTCCCGTGTTAACAGACGGGATTCTTTGGATTTTGGTAACTTTGCTATGACTTTGACCCTCCAAAAACTAATAACTTCTAAGTTGGGGCATAGTCCAAATGTATACTAACTTTCGTCCAAATTAATTCAGCGGTATTCGAGAAATCCTGCTGACAAATACAGTTCATTTATAACATAACATGTTATTACACTATTCATTATTTCATCATCAAAAGAGGTATATAGTTAAAACATGGTATACATTGTGTAATGATCAGGGTGACTTTGTAGGAAGAGGTAGCGGCCAAAGTAGTGGTGGTAGAGGTGCTTTCTGTTAGCCACTTTCAACACCGACCTCTTAATGTCCTTCTACACTTTTTCACGTGATTAATTAATTGAAGGTCATTGGCCGTAGGAGTGTCTTATGGGCTGAAGTTGTAAGGTCACAGGTCAAAGTAAGAAATGTTTTTTTAAATTATAATCAATAATTAAAAACAACGTTTTATATTTACACAATAAAACTTTATTGAAGCCGTACGGCTTCCACTTTAAAATATCTCTCTACAAGTACATGTTTCGACGTGATCTACGTCATACTCAGGAGTAACTTACAAGACTATTTTATACTTTCCCCCTTGTCGAAACATGTACTTGTAGAGAG